ATAAAGCAACCCTCCAAAAAAAGTCATATTAGTTCATTTTTTTTGTTGTACTGTCATGAACTTTAACATTTAACATGCTAAATGAGGCCCATAGAGTCTGAGATGTAGCTTTGCTATATCTGGGCGATACTGAGGCATTTTGTTAACACACACTTGAATGCTGGCAAAACTTGTTCTTTTATAAAGGACATCAGGACATCAGATTAGCAGCAACTAGCTGCTACCTACCCCCTTATTTCTGTGGAAGCAGTAAGGGGGTATTTAGTTTTTCATACAACTGCACAGATTCCTGTGAAACTTTCTTTTCATGATTATATATTCAAATCTATTTTTATTTATTTTTTTTTACATTCAAGCCTTCACACCGCAACCACTGAAACATCAAGAATCCGAGATGCTGATTCATTTAAAGCTGGAGGACAAACAGCTGACGAGGTATGAAAAGTAACTCTGTTTTTAAAGTCCAGCCACTTTGACTGTTTGTATATGTGTGTGTACTTGTGCTGTCCTTGCTCTAATTGACCAGCTGTGGCTACGTGTTCGGCCTCCTTAAAACCCCCATTGATCCCACAGCCGTTTCACAACAGGCCTTATTGCTTTGCTTGTGCCCTCAGTTTCAGGCGTCTGCAACACCCCTGAAAAGGAGTACAGGAAATAGTGGGGACTGAGCAAGTGAGTGTGCAAGAACTGTGGTGTTTGAAGTGGAGGGGTAGTAATGAAACTGTACATTAGGATGGATATTCTAGAAGATCGGTGTGTTTCCCCGCTTTATGGTTTCCAAATCCTATTCATTGAGTCAATGAAAACTACGATACGGCATGCCGGAGTCGATAAATTGATATCTGCATAAATGAGTTAGTAAAGATTTCTGATGACATAGGCAGTGTGCAGAGAAACATCCCACATTTTCAGTTATTAAAATATAAATCTTTTCTTGAATGTCAAATTCAGTGACAGTAATTTAGTCTAAGTGGAGTACATCAACGTATTCTCATTTAAAATATATAATTGCAGGGCTAAATGGGTGTTAAGTATTCTGAAATGCATGCCGTGTAACCTCAAGGTCTGGGTCTGGCTTGGCCAAGAACCATTCGTCACCCCTTTTCCTTTCTTCTCCCGTGTGCCTTATAAAAGCAAAAACCTTTAAAAACAAATAGAATTGTAATTGCTTTTAGCTGTGGGCTAAGGTCAAAGAATGTGCTACTCTCAAACTTGGCTGGCTTTGATTGCAAGCTTAAGCACATTTTCAAGGAGAGAAACTTGGAAAAGTCTTGGTTAACAGAATTCCATCTGTTTTATAGTCGATACAACAATGGAGATCTGCCAAACACCGCACACCTCACTCTGTAATGTTATACAAACTTTGACCTTTCTCCCTCCAGGACTGTTCTCGGGGGTTGTGGGTCAGGGTCAAGGCCATTAAAGCTGGCTTAATAAGCTGCTGAGGCCTCCATCTGCCCAGCCCCCTCCTACCGGTCCATGTGAGGCCTGAAGGTTCAGAGTCAGCAAAGCTAGAATCTGGTCCTGTCAGCAACCTTCAGAGATGGTTTGAACAGCGTGTCTCGATGGTAGTCTGTCTTTATTTTCGGCATGAATGATACTTGCTGATACATGCTGATCCCTCTTAATGTGCAGTCATACTCATGAAGCAAGATTTTTTGGCATACTTGCATGAATCCTTAGATTTTTAATATTCTTTGAATATTAGCACATTTGGCACTTTCTTACTGGCATTTTCGAAGCAACTGCCACTGATAAGTGTAGACAGCACAGGAAACTGAAGGAAATGGCACATGCATCAGACTGATACTAAAAAGAGAATAATAATTGCTGAAGAACTGCTAAAAAATGTTGCATACTGCCTACAAGCATATCAGCGCTTGCATGGACCCATAATTTGATATGGTATATTACCATTACGATGGAGTTTTATCTGCTCAGATAATGGTTGATTTCACACTGAACAGAGAATATTTTGCAAATTGTTCTTATCAATTTCATCACTTTTTGGGGATCCAAACATGTAAAATTTATATTTTACCATCCTGTGTCGGTAAGAGTTTTTTTTTGTCCTGATGAATGTTTAACATTTGAGTTTTTGAATCTACTTTTCAAACCGCTGGCCTATTTGCGGGATTATACATACCAGCCACCAAGATCAAATACAGTTCTTTTAACTGTGTCATCATTATTTTAGTTTTACTTTTGTCTTGTGGCTTGAGGATTGTTTATGTCCCTATATTTTCTAGTCAGAAGAGCATGAAAATAATAGAGCAGTGCAATCGCTGTGGTATAGAGTTATAGGTGTAGACTTGTTTCTTTTGACTAGGTTTGGTTTGGTTGTGTGTGTGTATGCGAGAATGTGGCACATCAATAGTCCAATCAATGACCACATCACCACCACAAGTCTTTTTGTACTTGTTTTATGGTACACTTTGTGTTAGTTTCCATAAATGTTTGTATACGTAAAGGGGTGTGCAACCAACGCAAACATACTTGCTTGCAGTCTTCCAATGAAGCAAAGAGCATATAGCTGATAGATGAGGCTTTGCATAGGTCAGATGCTAACTGTTTGAAAAGTGGACCAGAACAGAGGAGGGAGTGAGAGTAACGTTCATAACAAAAATGACGAAAATTGAAAAATATTCTAGAATATTCTATTCTGTTGTTCTAATAGAAGGATAAACTTTATTAATCCCAGAGGGAAATTAAGTGGTCATAGCAATTTCAAAGCAATCGTATAAAGTGAATTGTAGAAATAGAGATATAGGTAGGTAAATGTAGAGATATAAATATAATACAAATTTAAAAGGACACAAGTATTACCCTAATGTTCCTTGGATATTAAAAGATGTTATAAGGGCACAGGTGTGCAAGTATACATTGTGGTGTACAGAAGTGACAGAGTCCTCTTCAGTAATGTGGGTCTCACTCAGGTGGATGCGTTAAATAGTCTGATAGCATCAGTAAGAAACGACCTCTTGTCTTGTTCCCTCAGGCAGTGAGGTCAAGGGAATCTGTTCCTGAAAATGGTCTTCAGATTGTCCAGGATCTTATGGAGGGTCGGAAATCGTCTTCCACGATTGGCAATTTTCCACAATTCCATGATATAACCAGAACCAGAAACTCAGATGGTGGCTGCAGTACAAAGACACTTTTCATTGTTTTTAACAATTTTTTTTTTTTCGTTCTTCTTCGTTCTTCTCTGCAGCTGACAAGGACCAACAACATCAAAAGCAAGATTAGCCCACAGACAGGTTGTTGGTGATACTTTCCCCTAGTGACAGTAAACAGCTGCAACATATAGACAGTAGCCTAATTAAAAGCGGGTCTTTACTCTCCTCTGTCACTATGTACTTACTTAAGATGGAGTTATTGTGAATTCAGTCTTTTTTAAATGCTGTGAGGGAACAACATTAAATTTGAAAAAAACAAAAACAAAAAAAACCCCCAACATCTATTTTGAGTCAAAGATGAACTGATTTAATTTTGGTAGTCAAAGGTCAAGGTTACTGTGACCTCTCAAAATTAATTGTTTTTCCCATAACTCAAGAATTCATACATTCAGTTTTGACCGAATTTCACACCACTGTGTAATAGGATAACGTGATGAACTGGTAACATTTTATAAGCAAAAGGTCATTGGCCTACATTGCTTTGATATGATTGTGTTCTGCAAAAATACCTGTCTAGTTATAATTCAACACCATGAGTCACAGAACTGAAGGTGAGATGGTGACTATATTTCAGTTTTGATGCTCATTTAGTGACACTACTTTGGGTGCACTCCTATTTAATGTCTTCACTGCATACGTTATTCTGAAGAGTCAATGTAATGAGAACATACCACATATAGCGCTTTATAAACATACTGCTTTGTTAGCACTGTCTGTTTAAAGAGGTGCTGTGTGTCACTCGTTTTCTGAAAGTACTTGATAGAAAATCAGGAATGCAAATGACAAAAACCTGTAATACACCGATCCCCTTTGTACATGTTTAGTACTGCAGTTTGTTCTACAGTGTCTTACTCTTGTGAGTCGATGCATTTTTAATGTGGACTTATTTTCAACTGAATAATTTAGTGCTTGGTCAGCAACAGGGGTGATCCAGAATCCATCTGATGGGGTAGAAAGAGCATGAGGGGGAAAATCCAGATGCAGAAGTTTGAATGGGCCTGAAAATGCATACTGGAGCACAGCGTACATGGGTCATGTCTATAGGAGGACAATGTTTGTAGAATTAGATTTTTTTTAATTTTTTTTATGGTTTTGTCTGCTAGTAGATGCTGTGCTATAGTGGTGCTCTTAGCAGAGCTGTTAACTGCTTAAAACGTAGTGATTTGTTTTTAGGCAAACTGAACTTTCCTTAAAAAATAGTCTTTAGTCTATTATTATATTGTTGTAACAATGCTTCTTGGCAATAAATCATATACCATTGCAAAGCCTGTTTATTTCCCCATAAATAGTGCCACATTTCTAAGGAAAATTCCTGTTGTTTTGAGATTCTGGTACCCCAGGTGCTGACAATCAGGTACCTGATTGGTGCTTAATTAGCAGCACCTGTCAGCATGGACACCTGCTACAGCGGTCAGTTGGTGTCTGCTCCATATTCAACTGATCTGGATAGGGCCCATGTCAAAGGGCAGCTTCAAGCTGGTGTTCAAGTTGTACCATTATTTGTCTACAAATTGAAGGCCACGTTCAGTATAACAGGGGACGTCAAAGACATACTGTGAAGTGCGCAACCCAAGAAGACGACACCAGAAAGAGACAGTTTGCCTACAGATTGCAAGTGCTGACAGGGAGAGGAATCTTCTATGGATTTGCAGTCAGTGCTTGCAGGATGATATCGCAGACAGCTCTCTTACCAGACAACCTGGAACAAACTGCACACATCTCTGGTCTATCAGGTGTGCTAGGAGACCCACCGTGACTGCCCTTCACTGTTGGGCTAATTTGCCCCAGAGCTTGGACATGTGGAGGACCATTATGTTCAGAGACGAGTCCAGGGGGGGGGTCATCTCTTTCACTGGAAAAACAAGGGTTGTGAACATTGGAAGCACTCTCAATGCAAAGAGATATCCACATGATATTCTGTAACCAGTAGCAATCTAATATCTCCCCAGTCTGGGACCGAACTTCATCCTCCAAGATGACAAGGCTCACCTCCACAGAGTGGGCTTTATCAGAGGCTACCTTGAGAATTTGTGAGTCAAGAGGATGGAAAGGCCTCTCTACAGTCATGACCTCAACCTCATTGAACAATTGTGGGATCAGCTTAGGCGTGCTGTTCATGCCAGACTGACCAATATGACCACATTGGCTGACTTGCACCAAATGCTGGTTGAAGAATGGGATGCCTTCCCACAGCAATGTGTAACCAAGCTGGTGACCAGCATGAGGAGGTGCCAGGCTGTGTATTGTTCTTTTACTACC